CTTGTACATGAGAATCCATTTGGGACCATCGATTCCGACGATTAACTGCCAGACGTGGTGAATGCGAGGAAGTGGGACATCGGCCCTCTGCATCCCTTGGCCCAACTCACAAAGATAAACTTCGTTTTTCTTCCCCCCCCCCTCCAACTCCCCATGAATCGAGCGGGCAAGATGAACTGTAATCGCTACCTTTCGTTTTCTGCCCCCCCTCCTTCCCCCCCCTCCCTCCCCCTCAATGGGCTCGTGGTTTCCCGGCTATGAATGTTGGCCTCTCAGTGGAATTTTGCTGAATTTGGAACATGTACATTACTGCATGCAGACTTCCAATGAATATGTAGAGCACAGAAAAATAGTATATTTTTATTATTTTATAATTTTCTTGAAGGTTTTTTTTTTTGTTTTTTTTTTCCCCAATGAATATATAGAACACAGCAAAATAGTATATTTTATCATTTTCTTGAAGGTTCTTTTTTTTTCTTTTTTTTAATTTAACCTTTCTCTGGATTCGCCTCTGGGGAGTTTGGTAAACCGAAGTAATATAAAGCCACTAAAGTGTACCAAATTGAAAGCAGAAATACAGCTCAAGTAAGAGTCGATTTTTTTCTTTTTTTTGCCCTTCCAGAATACAATGATGGTGCAAGCTGTTGTAAAAAAGCATAATAATAAAAGCAGTTCGGAAGCCGGAGACCTCACGATTCAACCCGGAAAAATAAATAATTATAATTATATATAATACTATATGTATATATCCTGATGCGTCGGTGAAACTCCGACGAAACAGTTTGTCACACCCCCTCTTTTGTTGTCCTCTTCTCCTTCTCCCTCCCTCTCTGCCTACGGTTTACTGCACAGCTCTGTTTGTGACGATATATATATATATATTTCCAGATGTCTCGGATCTACTATTCGTGGGGAGCTGGATCTGCTGGAAGCTGAATCCTGCGCCTTGATACAATTTTGCTTGGAGCGCCAAGTCTGGAGTAAACCCTACCGTATTTCGGCGTCTTCACCCAAATAGAAATCCAGGTCGTTTGACAGCAGCAGTAGAGAAAGCAAAGCAAATCTCCGTGCAATGACAATCGCCAAGTGTGAACACGCAAAGCCAAATAAGACGAAAGAGATACTTTTCTGTCTTTTTCGCCCCCAAACTTCCCCAGAGGGACCAAGCAGGAAGAGAGACTTTTCTGTCTCCCCCCCCCCCCCTAAAGAGCGACCAAGCAGGAAGAAAGACTTTTCTGTCTTCTTCGCCCCCCCCCCCCTCCCTCCCCCAGAGGGGCAATCAACCTCCCAGCGACAGACTGAACAGCAGCAAAGGCAGACTAAAAGGGGCACTGAGGTAGTCCATTTTCAACAACCACTACACCCTGCCCTGGAGGCAGTGCACTCAGTGCACTTAGTGCACTATGATCTCCTGGACCAACCTTTTTTTTTTTTTTTTTTCGGAGTAAGACCATTTCATTCCATGAGAGACACAGGGGGGAACCAACCTTTCGCGAACGGCCGGCAGCGCATTTTTTTTCTTTTTTGGCTGGCACCATTACGGTCCGGGAGTTCCGGGAGTCTCGGGAGTCCCAGGAGTCCCGACCCTGGAAAAGCTTGGAGTTGGCTACTCACAATCTTCGCCAAGGCTGGGGCCATCTACCGGCGGTTTAAACCAACCAGGGGTACTTACCGAGGGTGGAAACACCCTGCGCTACCAGCCTGCCAGCCATTTTGCCCCGGAGGGCCGGCGGAGGCCCAGCCGCGAAAGTTGCTTGCAGCATGCAAGCCACAACTTCGAAAAAAAACATGGCTGGGAAACATACAAGCTTTTCATGAAGGATTATAATTTATAAACCTTTTTTCAAATTTATACCTTGTTCAGCTATAGCATCATAATGCCTGTCATTGCCTGGCTCATCACAATGGCTTCAGCATGTGATGTAAAAGGGACACTCGGCCTGGCTCCAAGCTTATAATTGAGACAGACCTACGGGAACTACTTATAGTCCTAGACTAACCGCTACGATCTTCAGACAGTACCAAAAAAAGCGCGGGCTAAAATACAAGCCCCAAAAAAGTCCTATGGTTTACCAGTTCCTCCAACGGGTGAGGCTGTGGACCCATGGGGCCCAGACCCCCCCAATCTTATTATTAAAAAGAATTAGAGCTTGATCATAATAAAGGCTGAAAAATTCCTATTACGCAGTTCAACCTTCAGGCTAAACAGAAACTCTGCCTCAGTCCCTGGTAAAGTGCCCATATAACACGCTCTGTGGAGAAACGAAGAGATCACCGCAAACTTCTGTTCTTTACTGGAAAAAGAATTAAAATCCTGTAGGTTTTGGAACACCAATCCTTCACCCCCCAGGAGACAATCCTGATTCTTATGAAGGGCTTGACAATAGACCTTCGCCGGTTGCTTACCAATGAGCACCTACAACCTAAATAAGGCCATTCGTTCGACTGACTTGTCCGTTCTAGAACCAAATGCCTATCGTAACATTGTGTTTCGAACTTCTGAAAAATGAACTCAGCTTTCTGCACAGACTTCTTGTCACCAACTCGAATCCTCACAAACAAGGAAGCATCATCAATCATTCTACACCCTCTTATCAATCTAGCATCATTCCCCAAGCTTGAAAGAAAAACAAACTCATTGTGCATGCACATAAGACACGCAAGAGCCGGGCTGGACGATTTTCCCATGGGAATTCCTAACGTCTGCTTAACCACTCTGCCCATTGCCATACTGAAGGTATTACTCAAATCATTGGTAATAAAGTGAATTAACAATGAGAATCTAATGGATTTACAACCTACATCGCTAATAGCAATTCGACACAGTCGTACCCGTTTTCGGCGGGCACAATACAAAAACTTGAAAAAACCTTTCTCTTCAAATAAGTTGATTGCCCATTCAACAGCAGAAATTATTGCTAAATGCGGAAGTTAACAAAACATTTCTTTCACATCGTAACTACGCCCAAATATTTCCTCACCTTCGTCAACTTTCTTATTAACTTGCTCCAGGAATGTGGGTAACATCTGCGTACTACCGAGATTAAAGTAACTAACCTTGGGAATTCTTCTTATTATTTTTTTAACACATGCTGAAGTAATATGAGCGGCTTTCCTCGTTGGTTCCGACCAGGAAGGACAAATTAGGCGCCATTTGCCAACATCCTTATGTTTGGGTAGAACATAGGAACGTCCTAGCTTACCTCCATTCACCCATGGTGCTAACTGTGCCAGCTTGTTCCCCTTGTAGTTCCTCGCACAATCGGACAAAACTTTACCTTCATCATCATTGATACTTCTCATCCCTTCATTGTCAACAAACAACTGACTCATCCCATTCTCATAGATAACTGGGCAACAAGCATATGTATCCCCCATATTGTGATTGAGCGGGGACAGGACCAGTCCGTGAAACTGCTCTTTACACCGCAGAACTTGATCCGAAGAAAAGGGAGATGTCGAAAAAGAAGAAATGTCACGTAAGCATTCAATTACATCAGAAATAAAAATAGCTACTTCCTTACCAAAAAAATTTGAAAGTGAAGAACTAATTTGACTACAGAGATCAGATTTATTAACAGCATAATTAGGGAAGACAATATTCTTAGAGTTACGGAGAGAAACAGGGACAAAGTCAACATGACAAAAACGAAACGAGACATTACCATTCTTTCGGGGGAAACGATCATTCAACTCTGCGCAACCACACACTACATCAGAGTGACATGCATGAGCTCGGTAGTTATCGACAAGATCGCCTACCGATTTATTCTTTACCCAAACCAGTCTAAAGCGACGGCAAACCAATTCCAAATAGGCGGAGGGAAGATCGATGCTACGAATCACTTTTTTACACGCATCATGAATCTTTTCTTTTATCAACCCATCGTCGAACTTGCTTCTGACAACTAACCTAGTAGATAAGCACAAATTGAACTTCCTTCTACATACCTGAGACAGAATAAGCCTCAAAGTGGACCGAGACTTAGTACATGAGAAGGAACGAGTACCGTCATAAGCGGCAATAAAACGATCTAAATCCCAGCTCCGTAAAGTAATTCTAGAAGAAGGTTTACTTAGAAAAAGAATCGAAGTATTCTTAATGGATAGGGAACGGGAACAAAAACGACAAAGTTTATGGAAAGTAATTACAACATCATTTTTGAACCATTCTCGACAGATTTTTAGCAAGCTAACAGGTAGATTAGAAGAGGAGATGACTGATGAACCGAACAAACGCTTGACGAGTTTCCAGTTATCGCCAAGAATAGAGCCAGGAATTATGTTAATAGAGAAAGGAGTGGACAAGTGGGCAACCAAGGATTTCTGAAGCAAGGAAATGAGACTAATGGGGATGAGATCAAGAGAGGGTAGACTAAAGGTTAACAGAATATTATTATGGGGTAAGGGAAGGAAGGAAGTGGTGGAGGGACAAAAATTGTAATTAGATGATACGTTAGTAAGAGGGGAGGGATGGGGAAGTACAGAAGGTGAAGAAGTAAGATAAGGAAGTGTAGGGGGTGAAGAAGACAGATTGAGTAGACAATTCCGGCGTTGGAAACGCTGGCGTTCTTTCCTACCTGGGCGACATTTACGCATATGAAGTCTACGTTTATATGAAGAATTCAAGGATGGATCGAAAGATCGAATGAAGAAAGTCTCAGACTTCAGTAGATCCCGTGCTTGGGAAGCAAAGATAGGAATTGCAACGTAGCAATGTAAACTAACGCGCCTCAACCAACGATATAACTTACGATTAGTCCTAGCTTTTCCTATCGTCAAGGTGGAGGCTACATGCTCCTTCCATCTAATTCCTAATGAACGAGAAGTGCAACCAATATAAGTATGACGGTGCCATGGAGAGAAGAGAACATACACAACTGGACCGGGACAAAGGTGGAAGTCATAGTACTATTGATAAGGAGCGACAGTAGACTACGAAGTTTATTCCCCCATCGAACTTCACCAGAAATAATAAGAAGAATAACGACAAGACGAAAAATATAAGTTACCTCTAAAGTGGGCAGCGACCCTCGATAATCACGACAAAACAATGCCAAATTCCACAGGTGTGATACGCTCAGGGCGCCTCCTCACTCATCGTTAATCTCTTCCGTCGAGGTAGCATAATCGTGATGCTGGTCCTCATCATCATGGATCTCCTTCGTCTTTAGCCATTCATCATAATCCCGTCGCACACGAATCTCGACGATGTCAGCCTTTGCTTGATCGAGTTTGATGTAGGATATCTCTTCCTCTTCACACATCTTTTCGAGATCGGCCTTCTTTCCCGCGCGTACATCCTTCATTCTCCTCTCCCTGAATCTCTTGATCATTTCTTCCTCCAGATCATGCGCCACGTCACCGACAGTGCGACCCTTCTCCTTGGCCATACCATCATCCTGCACTTCCTTCTTGCCATCAAATTCGATCTCCACAGCATTCAAAACTGTTTTTAAACGTCTTGGAGTTGTCTTCCTGAAAACGGATTTCCGAACAGACTGCCGATACTTAGACGCTCCCATCCTGGCCATACGTTCCTTCAGCGCTTCAGCTTCACGTAGAGCCAACTCCTTCTGCACCAGAGCCTCTTTGTACGCCTTATGCAAGTCCTCAAGATCCTTGGGAGTGTACATAGCCTCACTGGTTTTTGTTCTGCCTCGCGATGGCTCCTCCGGTGGACTCTTTTCTGTAATCACCACACTACCCCGCTTTCCTTCATTTCGAAGGCATACAACCTCATCCCGCAAGTCTTTGAATTCATTCCGGATGTGCGCATTTTCAGCCTTCAGGCTAATCAATTCAGCGTTCTTCTCATCCAGCGACTTCCGAAATCCACTTAGTTCAGCTACTTGCATCCGCAAAGCGACAAGGTCGTCACTCTTCTCCTGTTGCACACCACTGGCTTTGACTCTCAAATCCTCAATCTCACGGCGCAGTCGTTGCTCCTCCGATCCCTGACCTTGCGCTCTCTGCAACGCCTCCTTCTCTTGTCGTAGCGATTCAAGGTTGGAAGAAGAAGAAGTACCCCCAGTGCATCTTGTCTTTAACTCATCGAGCTCCTTCCTCAATTTGCTGACCTCTGATTCTTCATCACCAGGAAGATCAACTTTCCTGCCCAAAGCGGATTCACAAACAACCTTCATACTTGATCTAACTATCTGTCCCAACTTGGCTTCCAGCAACTCCCTCTCCTTCCTTGCTTCCACACGTTTCTCTTCTTCTGCCTGGAGTCTTTTCTTTTCCTCCTCCAAGGCTGACAATTTTGCTGCCTCCCGTTTACGCTGCTCCCTCTCCTCAGCCTGCTCATGTAACAGACCACTGATCACACTCCCTATAACCTTCGTTCCAAGGCCTAGAATAACGCTGACCATAACCGCCGTTGTAATTACCACCGCTATTGAAATTACCGCCTCCATTGTTGTAACTGCCTCCGCTAGAGTAACCATTAGCACCACCATTGCTCCTATTCTGCGGAGCTTGATAGGGAACGATAGCATTCGATGTACTCGCCGTTTGTGCCGGTGCTGGAAAAATACCCCAGTTTGAAGAAGAGTTAGAAGATCCTGGCATATCGTTGCGGATATTAGCAGCCATCTCAGCACCGTTCGGCAAATTCCGAAAAGGGCATTCACGTATGAAGTGCCCAGGTAACTGACAAAAGTGACAAACTGGTCGACAGTACATCCTGAGAGGACTAACGCGCCCTCGCTAACAAAGCACCACCGCGCGGAAAAAGAATAAGGATAAGCTCGAAAGAGTATAAGGTAAATGACGAAGAAGTAAGTTAGGAAAAATAAACGAGAAATAAGCGAAAAATAAGCGAAAATAAGCGATGAGAGCTAGTTAAGCACAGACATATCCACTCTAATAGGGTGAAATCCCCATCGGTTATCTATGTGTTTGTCGCAGTAGAGAAAGCAAAGCAAATCTCCATGCAATGACAATCGCCAAGTGTGAACACTCAAAGCCAAATAAGACGACTGAGAACGAAGGGAGAAAGGAGGGAGGAAGAAGGAGTAGTAGTAGTAAACCCCCCAGAGCGCATCAGCTCAGTATATTGCAATAAGCACAAAAAGAGATGGTGAAACTCCCGTCATCAGGCGAGAGCCACCGTATCGTGAAGCGCAGCTGGCAAAATGAAAACCCGACAGCTGTTTCGGCCGGCTTGCCAGAGCCGGTCCTCCTCAAGGGTCGCGCTGGGTGTGATTTAGACAGACCTACGGGAACTACTTATAGTCCTAGACTAACCGCTACGATCTTCAGACAGTACCAAAAAAAGTGCGGGCTGAAATACAAGCCCCAAAAGAGTCCTATGGTTTGCCAGTTCCTCCAACGGGTGAGGTTGTGGACCCATGGGGCCCAGACCCCCCCAATCTTATTATTAAAAAGAATTAGAGCCTGATCAAAATAAAGGCCCGGAAAATTCCTATTACGCAGTTCAACCTTCAGGCTAAACAGAAACCCTGTCTCAGTCCCTGGTAAATTGCCCATATAATGCAGCAGCATCTGGACTGAAAGTTGGCCCAAATACAGCTTTAATGACCAGGCGTTCTATTCGGGTGAAGACGGGAGTCAGAGTGATGATAGGTTCAGCATCTCAATCATACTCAATGGGGAGCATTGGGGACCCCAACCTTCTGCATTTCCCCCTAATTTCAAACAGCGCCTTTCAGAAATTCAGACCGCTGCTTGGCGAGAAGCTTCCTTCAATTTTGACTTTTGGAGCATTTTAGCCGAGGGACACTGGACTCGGTTTCCAGAAGCGAATAGCTGGGTAAGGGCCCGAGCATGTTTCAAGTACGGGGGGCCAAGTCCCACTAGCAGCGTTGAGCTACCTCAACGCCTGAATCTGGACGTGTTTGTGGAGACGTGCAGTTCAGGAAACTCGACACCATGTCCGCACATCTCCGCAAAAGCGTCCAGATTCAGGCGTTGAGGTAGCTGAACGCTGCTAGTGGGACTTGGCCCCGGGTTGTATTCTTGAGGTGTATTCCCGGGCCTCTGTCTCTCATGTGGAATCAATGGTTTGCTTCAAAAAAAAAAAAATAAAAAAAAAAATCTTCAGAAAAAAAAAAAAAAAAAAAAAAAAAATTCAGACCGAACAACAGCGCAGAATGAATGGCCTACGCTTACGAAGTTCATTTCTAAGGGGTTGGCTCCACTACACGGCACTCTACATGTATCTGGACTCCATTCAATGCACCTGGTCTAAGAATGCATGCAAATGCATGAAGAAATTCGAGTAGTGGAGTAAAGCCCTAAGATTTCGAGTGAAGAACATCTAAATTCCAGCGACCCAGGAAAGTAATGGGAGCCTCTAAGGGCGACGTCCCACTCCACATGGATCAAGAGATACTGGCCGTTGATCCTCGCTCTCCTTTTTTTTTTTTTTTTTTTTTATAATCCTCGCAATCTTCGGTACCCTAAGATACCTCTTTGTCCGTGTACATGGGATCTGTTTTCTTCTTCTTTTTTTTTTTTTGCCCGCTGGGTACGACCATCGGTCATGAGACCCCTACTCACCTACACCTCGGGGCATGATTCACTCTAGTAGCAGTCGATTACCTTCCCCACCCCTCCCCTCCCCCTCCCCCCTCCCGCTCCCCCTCCCGCTCCCCCTCCCCCTCCCGCTGGCCCTCGTTCTAGCGCCTCACCCTCTACTAATTTTTCACCTTCTGTTTAGAAAAAAGAAAGGGTGTAGGACAAAGGGGTAGAGGGACAGACGTTTTCTGCGCAGTGCGCACTCTCACCCGGGCCCAGTGCCCAATCAAATTATGAATCGGGGCTTATGGTCCGGGGGCAAGCCCTCATTTGCAGGTGATCCCCCTGATGACCTTTTGAATCATGATCTGCTTCAAATACTTTTCAGAGATTTATTTAAAGAATGAATTGAAAGCTAGACAAGAAGGCGGCGAAACAGGAAACCAATATTAAAAAAAAAACAAAAAAAAACACAGGGAGCAACAAGGTCTTTTCACGCGAATAGAACTCCGGGCCACTATAGCTGTTCATGGGAGAACATCCAGTCTAGATACAGGGATAATGACAGGGGGCATTCTATTCGGGTGAAGTGGGCAGGTGCGAAGGTTGGTTGGGCGCGTGCAAAGGTAGGTGGCACCGTGGCAAGGCAGAGGGGCAGAGGCGGGTCGGTGGGGGCCAGCCAGCGCAATGGGCATGATGCAGCAGGGCAGGGGGGAGGGGAGAGAAGGGAGGGGAAAGGAAGGGGTAGGGGAGGGATGGAGGCCACACGAAAATGGGCAGCCAGGCATAGGCATGGGCCAGCGGGCGGACGGTGAGGGCAAGCAGCAAGACAGCCAGCTAGCCTCTTCCCCTCAACACAACGAGGCAGGCCTTATAGTGCATGTACACAAACTATATAAGCTATCTTTGAGGTCCGATGCAGTCATAATTAGGGGGCATTATGTTCGGGGGACGATAGTAGGCAAAAGGGATGGGGCCGATGGGCTAACGGGCCAAGGCGCGAGGCAGAGGCCCACGAGAAAGGCAGGCGGAGAAACGCGGAGGGTGGGTGGACGGTAAAGGGAGAAGCAATGCAAGAGGGCAAGCAGGAGCGATGTATAAGGGAGGGCAGTAGCCTGTAGGCACGTGGCCAGGGGGGGGCCGTGGGCAGGGGTTTGGGTATAACTCGATGCATGGCCATGCACGTGGGCAGGAGGGCAGGTGGCAGAAGCCACCTGGTCGAGAGACAAGCCAAGCAGCAAGAGAGACGGGTCGGCGAGCCGGTACCACAGTAAGGACTCTAAGGAGCCGTAAGGTCACAAATTCTCACAATGGCAACAGGGCAGTCCCAGACTCCCAGCACCAGCAGCCTACGAACTATCACCTACTCTACTCACGTAGTATGCACTGGGAGGCAGTGGGAGCTCTGCAGGCACAACGGAACACAGAGACACTCAGGCGCACGCATCGCAGACTATTTGGCACATCTGGAAGGTGCCGCAAGGGCACAATGAAGAGACTCACCAGGAACTTCAGGAAGAGCCCGTAGACTATACACAGTGGCATATCTTAATGAATCCACTTCACAGGGGACGGTAAAAAGAAATTAAAACGTTCCACCTAGTTTCTGTGTGTGTGTGTGTGTGTGTGTGTGTGTGTGTGTGTGTGTGTGTGTTTCGTGTGTGTTTTGTGTGTGTTTTGTGTGTTAATGTTGGTTACATGCACAACTCCAACAAAAAACATGGCTGCGGCAGACTCTGTTTCGTCGGAATCTCACGTCAGGATTCAGGGGAGAGTGTGTTGTGGTGTTCACTGAATACACAACTTAAAAAAAAAAAAAAAAAAAGGATGACTGTGCCAGAGAGACTCTTTCGTCGGACTTTCACTGACTCATCAGGAGGTTGAACCTGGACAGACAGTCTGCCCAGGATGCATTTGATGGATAGGGACTCACCACGTCACCCAGAGTAAGCGATACCCATCCGTGACTGATTTGAGAGAAAAGTGGGGTCGACTTTATTCACACCGGCCCTGTGTGTGTGTGGATGCGTGTAAAGGTAGGTAGATCGTGAAAGGTGAAATTGAGATGGAAAAAAAAAAAGAAAAAAAAAAAGAGAAGAATATAGTTTAGTTATTAAAAAAAAAAGTAAAAAAAGTTTGTTAGAGTGGTTTCTAGCACGTGTCTTCCGTTACAGTACTGATGAGTTGCCGTTATCGACAGAATGACAGCAATTGGCGACGGTGGGAAGTTGGGAACAGTATCTGCCTGAAGGATAAGGTCAGGTGCATTGCGTGCATTTGGCTGTCTTTCTAGGGTAGGTGCGTTTTAAAGTGGCGTATTTTTGTGGCTAGTATATAGCTGCATGGCCAATTAAAACACATGATCTCCGCCGATCAATCCCCGATTAGAACACATGACCGATCCGATTAAAACACATGCACCCCCTAACTAAATCGTATCAGCCCCCGAATTAAAGCATGTGCCCCCCCCCCGATTAAAAGATATGAACACCCCTCGCGCACCTCGCCCCCCGCCTCCCGCCCTCCCCCAGTTAAAACGCATACAAGTGGATTAAGCGCCTAGTGAACATCGCTTTCGTGTCCAGATTCAGAGAACGACACGTGCTGCCTGTTGTTTGTCGTTTTCTGTTCTATGCGGCGCCGCTGAAATCTTGTCCGCCATATTTCATCCGCCCGTTAACTTCCCTTGTCCAACTCGCGACGCATAAGTGAGTGAGTTTTTTTTTTTTTTTTTTTTTTTTTTTTTCCCTCCCGTCTTCTTACCGGCGGAATTCTCCCTTCACAAAAAAAAAAGAAAAGAAAGAACTCTCTTTTTCACTCGAATTTCTGGCCATTGATCTTCGTAGATCTGTTTCCAGGTCGACATCAGATCGAGGATCTGGGTGAGTGGGACCTTATCCCCAGTGTTTGGGTGACGTGGCAGCGACTAGAAGAAGAAGAAGTGTTTTTTTTTTTTTTTTTTTTTCCGGCCCTGTTCAGTCTTGTCTCCTCACATTACCTACGTAGCGGGCGCAATTTGATTCACGTATAACTTTTGCTTTCTTACATAAATTCCCGCCATATCTAGCCACTCGACTCTGTATGGAAAAAT